TAAAAAACATTTTTTAATAAATATTTTTTAAAAAATTTAAATAAAAAAAAACAGAAAATAATAAAATTTATGAAGCAAAAACGAAAAGAAAACTTTATTGATTCGTCTTTACAAAATATTTTTAATGCTGTTTTAATACTTTAAAATATAAATAAGTAATTATTATAAATATAAAATTGAAGAAGTGATACTTAAATTTATTATTATTAATCATTTTAAAGAAAGTATGAATAAATTATGCAGATTAAATACGTAAGAGGAAGGATTTACTTCCATGTAAGGGACCAGTAGGGTCTCTATCTTTATGATGCCTTAAAATATTTGTTACAAATTATTATATATATATATAGAGAGAGGACATGCCATAGCTTATGAGAGTCTTGTAAGACCTCTTAACCTTCCAAAACCTATAAAGAGACTCTCAGAGATCCATATGTTTTATGCCTAAATTTTGTTTTTATATAGATATATAGGGTGTTTCTTAACTTCTCACAGTGTTATAGGGCCTCTCGGAGATTCGTAAGTTAAACGTATGTTATAAAAATTTATTTTATAAGAAATATTTACATAAATGTGCATACGAAAAGAATATAAGCAGGATTTGGTAAAAATATATTGTTATATGTTTTGCATAATTTATAATATAGTTTTTGCCCGAAACAGGAAGGAAAATATATTAGATTTATACAATTTACAGCAAGAAAAGACTATTTTTAGCAGGATTTATTGAATAGTTGTAGCAAAGTTTACCGTATGCACACATATGTATAGAGAAAGAAAGCATAAAAAAGGGCAGAATAGTGCATTTTCGTGTTCAATGTTCACACGTGGGACATGAAACTGCATCATTTATTCTTTCTTCTCTCGCTTTGGATAAGATTGGTTGCATTTTAAAATGAAGAGGACCAAGATAATTATTATTCCGATCATTAAACACTGTAATTTTAAATTATAACGATAAACAACTTTGTAGTTAGAATATTAAAGTATATATTTTGAATTTATATTCGATTCACTCGTTTCAATTTTAATGAAATATTCTAAAAGTTATTATAAATTGCTCAATAATCCAAGGGATTAATCTACTTTTACATAAGTAGTTTCGATATTAATTAAGCAGAATAAAGCGCTCGGTATAAGACACTTAACAAACTCCATGATAAAATTCGGATTAATATTAAGTAGCGAGGAAAATATTTAAATCGAGAAACTTCCTTCATTTCTCATATTAGACTAGAATACATTGTTATTTCGTTCGCGAAGCACGCGAAGCGACGCGAACAGTCGCGTCGTGTGTGTTTTACAATTGAAATGACGGTAAGCGCCAATCGTATACCACAGACTAAAACTAGGAACCTGTCGCTTTCAATGACTCGGATATATAATTATTGTGTAAAGAATTTATATTTTATTAATTAACCTAATTAAAATTGTTAAAAATTTCTTTCCACGTAAGAATTTTTAAAAGAAATTTATAAAATCAAATTGTGTAAATCGTTGAAGGAGAAAATCTAATTAAATTAATGGGATTAATGTTTATATAACATAAAGAAAAATTTGATTACTGTGAATTTTCTAAATAATATTTCTTTAATTATCGATTTATGAGTAAACATTAAGATAAACAGCTGCATTATAAAGGTACAGACGGCTCTTATCTTTAATTATATTTTAAAAAATGTTTTAAGTCGAACGTTTTTAAGTAGTTTTTGTAATATATCTAAAAATATTTTACATATTTCTATTTATTTTCTTAATAAAATAATTTAAAAAACCGTACGTTTGAAATATTAATTACATGTCTTAATTCGTAAATACAGTTAAAACCTGCCAACAACGACCACCGACGGGAATTTAACAAATGGCCGTTGTTTGCGGGTTATTTTGTATGCATTTAGAGTAGCCGTTGTAGGGAGGTGGCCGCTATTGGAGGTTCGACTGTACATCAAATATTAATAAATTTCATCCGTTATTGTTATTATCAAAGTAATATTTACATATATATTTAATAAATTTTCTTTGTCACGAATATAGAAAGTTGAGAATAACATATATTGAAAGAGGAAAGAAGGGAGAAAAAATAGAATTTAATAATACGTTCTCGAAGGTTAAAAAAAATAGGAAAAAAGGTGAATATAACTAAACTAATATAAAATTATAAATTATATTAAAGCTTATTCAAAAATTTAATGCAAATTACTTTATTTTTTTCTTACGTTACATCTCGATTATAAGTGAAATAAACATCTCGTAAGCATTTTAGTAAGAGAATGAGCCCTTTTTTTATAACTAGTTATATTACACAATAATATGTTTTTTTTTAAAAGAAAATTAAATCATAACGTGTTATTTAACCAGGAATATTTAAAAATTTATTACTAGAAAAATGTTTTAATGAAAAATAGATTTTCTTCGTCGCTTGTAAATGTCATCGCAGCAATTGTTTCGGGAAATGCATTAGAAATAATGAAATGTTTCAAGTTTCTCGGGTTACATTATCATTGAAAGACTGCAAATAGAAATTAGCGGTAATCGTGGAATAAGTAATTAATAAATTTAGAAATTACTTATTCGACTTTTATGCACTCCTGTAAAGAAAATAAAGAAAAATTTAGTTTTGTAATATTTAAAAGTTTTATAATATATTATAATCTTTTAATACTTACTCGGAAGACGTCTCTTAATTCTTCGATATTATCCAATTCCGACAGTTTTTCACGGAAGCAACTTTTGTAACTCTTTCTTACCTGATAGTAATTATGAAAAATGTGTTAAATTAAATCATGTTAAAGAATGTTTATATAAGGATTAAAATCATTTTTAAATAATTAAATCCAATATATAAAGCTTAATATACTATAAAAGCAGTGGAAGAGACTATAACCTATAATGTATTTTGCCCCAGAGAAAGAGAACTTTGTTTCAATTCCATCATTGATCAAGCACGTTTTTCTTTAGATAAACATGTAGGCTGTACAGTACATTAAACTCTATACTTTGAATATTAATTCTTTGTTATTTAGAATAAAAAGTAATGCGAGTTTTAAGTTACTTACTTCATCCTCAGCTTCTTCGCAGAAGTAATCTCTTCTACTTTGTCCATCTTCTAGATCCAGATCGGGTACTACTTGTTTAGCGCATTTCCCAGCTATTTCTCCTACCTTACGGATAAATATTTTAAATTATATTTAAATTTTAAATAATAAAAATAAAAAAATCTTTATTAAATACACTCACGATCGAAAATCCGTGATCACGTACGCATTTGCGTACTGCCGCTGAATTTTTGTGCGCTAAAACAACAAAGTAATTGTAAAGTAATTCATTTTTAAGAAAAATTATAGAAATATTTGCATTAAATATGCCAACTTACCGCAATATCTGCCTTTCGGATACTTTTCTTTATCTTCTTCGCTACTACCAATGACAGCCACCAGCATCAAGCAAAATACAAAGGCGATCACTCCTCCTTTATTCATGGTTATTATCTAGACGTGTTTCTTCTCTTCCTTTAATAAGGCTGAGAGGTATGTTTTGATGTTGCAAAAAGGCAATTCCAAGGTCGAATCTTCATTGTTTTAATATATTTTTCTTCTCATTTTTATTCTTAACAATCGCCATTATGTCGTGCACGGAAGTCCTTGAGTACGCGACTTTATCCAGTGTATTATTATACGAAATATTTCTTATTTTTAATAGGTTTATTGATTTGAAAAATGTTGTATAATCATCAAGATGATACTATACAAGAAACGGTTGATGTATCTTTCCTTTTGTTTTGTTTTTTTCCTTTTCTTTGATTTAATAAAACAACTCGCTGTTGCCACAGGATATACGCCAGTTGAAATTCATATTTTAAAAAAATAATAATAATATACAGTACTTGCTTAAAATTATTAATCTGTGGCCATTTACACTATAATTGACAACGCGAATTGAAATATTTGAATTACAACCAATCACAGCTTAGATAAATTCAAAAATCGAAATAATAGCCAATCGGCAACTAAATAAATTCAAATAACGTCAATCGATTGGTTACGTAAATAATTTGTAAACTAACGTAATTATACTTTATTAACGTCCCCAAGAGTCATATTTAAGTCTCAAAACACGTAAACTTTGTCAATGTATTAAGAAACAATGTGAATAAATCAAAATACTTTTGCAAAAATTTAAAGTTTTCTTTATTTTTTTTTCTAGATTACAACAATTAAGTTCGAAAATTTTATAGGAATTTTTTTTAAAAAAAAATTAAAAATTTATTTAATTTTAATTAAAAAGAATAAAAATCCATTAAAATGAAAGATTTCATTGCGCCATCTGCCGAATTTAACTGTAAATAAATCGTATAAAATTAAAAGAAAATATTTAATAAAAATTCGAGAAAATAGCCAATAAATTGCTGAAAATTTCTTTATTTAATATAAAGTAAATAAAGTTTCAAAATTAATTTTTTCTATGTTAAAATTATTTATAATTTTAACATAATATAACATACCAATTTCCATTTAGGCTAATTAAATTTCAATTGGTTTTTTCTCCCTCTTTTTT